CTGACGAGTGGTGCCTCAGCGGTGCTTGTTGGGAGCCGTAGAGCCCGTAGGAAAGAGATGAGAGGCTCAGTGAACTAGCCTTAGTGGCTCGTTAGAGGAAACCTTGATGGCTTCGCGATTGAAATTGGTGGCCCAGTAAGAGAAGCCTCAGTGGCTCGGAGGTATGGCCTTATTGTCCAACTGACGACTGTCTCAGTGGCTCGATTGGTAGGGAGAGCCTCCGTGGTCCAGAGGAGAGAGCCCCGGCAGCCCAACGCAGAAAAGGGATTGCGCCCTGCACACGGTTGCAGACCTCCGCTCAGTGGTCTATCGGTTCCACTGACAAATTCACCTCCGATCCTCCAATGATAGCTGTTACTCGCTTAATGGTCGTTCATTTTGCCTCCTTTTTGCACGGCGTGGTTCATCCGAACCTTTTTGGGTGCGTCACGCATTCCACATCCGTTTGCAATTGTGGTGGCGTTTCGAATGCGATTCCACCTTACAATGACTTGCGGAGCCAGCCAATGTATAACACCAATCAGTGGTCATGTCCTTCCAAACAAGTTATGGTAACTATGAATAAACTCCCAAGGGTTGAAAAATTAATTGGCTTGGATGGCGTGAATCCAGGATTTGATCCGTCGTAAGCAGCGCCAATTGCCACGATACCATTTCCGCTCCACTGGCACATTTTTTGAACATCACTGTACAACATGAACTAGTCAAAATGCAGTCTAGTATGTCATTTTTCATCTTTCAGAGAAATCCACAAGTGCAGAAGGCAGACCACGGCCAACTCCGGCGTCCCCTGCACAGCCGCCCGCGGCACCAGCTGCAGCCCAACCACCGTCAACGCAAGCGCCCACCAGAGCACCAAAGGTAAGTCACCTTTAGTTACATTCCGCTACGTTAGCTTTGGCTTCTTACACACCTCCGAGGGCCCCTTTGCATGAGCAGGAAGCCAAGCCATACATGCCAAAATGATTTTGAGGCACGTAAAATTGTAAAAATCAATCTTAAGGCGTTCTATATAGCACGATTCAATCGGCTGACCATTCAGTCGGCTGACCAGTAATATCATCAGTGATACGATAGCTTTTCAGAAAGACTTCATAGCAAATGTTTATCATGAAGATGTTGTCGAGCAAGCTATCGATCAACAGAAGAAGGTAAGATCATTCAAATAGCTAACCATAACTGCAGATAAATTGGACCTGTATAATTATTCGGTGTTGGGTTGTTTCCATGCCTGCGTCAGTTCGGAACGTGCAGGCTGTGTGGACGGTGCGGACACGGTGGATAGTGAGGGAAGAGCAAAAAGGACCACTTTAGATTGCTGATGATGCATGATGTTTAACGCGCAGTCGGGGGTTCTCTCCAGGTAAAGGCGGAGTTTACGATAGAAAAATCGACCCATCAGAAATCACGAAAGAAGTGGTCGATCGTGTAGAGATGAAGAAAAAATCGTGAAAGCGGCCCAGCAACGCTGCAGCAATCGGGATGACTACCCGTCGCCTCCTCCCCCCCCACGATTTCGCTGCATGATGCGAGTGTAATCGTGCCTGTCCTCTTCAAACGCACCCTGCTAGACCGACGTACAGTCAGGAGAGTAGGCGGTCCAGTGGCCGCGAGCGGCGGCGAGATATGGCCCGCGATACACTGGGGTATACTCTTCGATGGAAATGGCATACGTCCCCGCATATCTCTAGGGCCCGCCTGCTTTCTATGCACTTGGGTATATTTCCCCTTTCATCGCCTGCGACCTTACCGTGTAGATCCCTTGCTTCTGAAGCCGCAATCCGGCAAATGAGGTCGTGAACAATTAATTCTGTGGACAAATAAAGTTGCCTGTAAGTATCACAGTTGTGCCGTTGTTGCGGCTCGATAGAGGACGACAATGGCCCTAAAACAACAGTCCTAGAAGGTTCCAACCAATTCAATCCTGAGGTGTGGAAGCATGCCCCAGCCCAGCCCAAGTAAAGTTCATAGGAACTGTCACTGAATTGAAAACTTACCTTTGAAATGCGTAGGAAGGGCTCAAACTTCTTCAAAAAGGGCGGGTCCACCGAGCCTCGGTGGAGCCGCCCCCTTGCTGCTGTGAAGAGCGCGTAGTTGATAGGCTGGTCGTTGCGGGACCGCTGGGCGATTATTTGAGGTCGATCCTTTAAAGCAATCGATGTAGTGATGCCGACAACGCTGAATTTCTTCATTTTTTCCTTCTACCTTCTACCGATCAAAACCAATAAGAACATCCATTATTGCCGCCGCCATATCGTGCGAATACACTGTTACGTTGCTCACCAATTTGCCCAGCTATTGCGAATGGACGCATGTTATTGCGGGTCATCTTTTCCATCACCACACTCCGTCCACGGAGCGTCCCTCCATTACTGAGTGGCGAGGGGGAGCCCCTGTCTAAGTCCCTGTTCGACGTCTTTTTTTAAACTATTCTTTCATTACTGGTCAACTTTGCACCCACAACTTCATTATCGGTGGTTTTGACTGTGAATTCGTTCTTGGACTGTTGCTGCTTAGAGCATCCAAAAGGAACTAAAATGTGAGTTAATTGACGAGTGTACGCCCGAGCAATCCCATGAGCACGCAACATCCGATTACTACGTACGCCGATTTAAACACGTCGTATTGTGAGCATGGAGCAAAGCAAGTTCAGACAACTCGTCTTCCACAGCAACTTGTCTCAAGCTCCAAGGGAAGAGAGGGGAGTCCTTGTTTGGCTTCGTCATTGCTCTGCTTCTTTTTCATTTTCGGTCAACCCAACATCCACATTTTCATTACCGATCGCTGCTTAATTTGATCTGGAGTTATTGCTGTAAGCGCCAGCCTCTCCAATCGTGCGCTGTCATAGTATAATGGATCTCTTGACACTTTTCGCAGTGTTCACACTTCTGCACGTTCTGCACTGCTCAATGTGAGAGGCTTTCTAGGAAGGTGACTCTAAATCAACACTCGTGAATACCTCGGATAATCGAGCAATGTGGGCACAGAATTTGATACTGAAAAAGGTATGTCCCATCTACTTAGAACTATTGATCGGATTATTACAATTCTTAGATTCACTGATTTAGCCTATAAGAGCGTTAGCAAAAGAGTTCGCGGCGAACAAGAAGATCAAACCTGCTGACTATACGACGGAAGCATATGAAAAGAACGATGCTAAGAATAGGTGAGGGTTAATAAAAACGGAAAAGACCTCTCAATCAATAATCTTGATGGGTTACAGATACAATGATATTATCTGTATAGACGCCACTAGGGTGGTGCTAAAAGACCGACCACCCGAGGACGATTACATACATGCTAGTTGGATGACGATGCCGGATGGACAGAAGTACATCTGCACGCAGGTTTGTCGGGTCCATGCAGGGTCAACCGGCCCATTCCGCTCTTGGCGAGTGGACGTAATTGAGTTTTGGGGGTCGTGATTGGGGTTGACAACGATCAAAAAGTCGAAAGGGGAGGTCGTATTGGTAGAGGTGGAAAGGGGTCATGGTTGTGGGAGAGAGAGTGGTCTCTGTTGGGTTTTCGACGATATTGGCGAAAACTTGACGAAGAAGCGTGAATTAAACAAAGTTGGATGCTTTGAGGATCTGCTGCTCCCTGAGACAGAGTTAAGGCTCCACGCTCCGTTTTGGAGCGAAAACGTGGACGGAATTGGAGCGTGTCGAATGGTCTTATGGTTAGAATCAAATATTATAGAAGCAGTCATGATGGTGAGGTGGGCGGAGTGGGTTCGTATGAGGGAGAGTCCCCTAAAGCTGGTAGAAGTGGTGGGGGGGGGGCATTGAGACTGTAGCCTAATGATAGGAGGGGGAGGGAGCGGTGAGATTACTACTGGAACTCGAGCAATGGACTTTTGATTGATCCCATGATCGATGCCTTTGTTTCAACATGACTGCTCAGAAATTAGCCCGAGGGGCGAGCACCACAATAGGTACGGTGCATAACAAAATCGAGAAGCGCCGCGGAAGAGCCGCGGAAGGGGTGAAGTAAACAAAATTGGAGGATATGCCGTTTCCCTGAGGTAAGGCTTCGAATCCACGGCCGCTTTGGAGCAAAAAAGTGGGCGGAGTTGGAGCGTGACGAGTGGTCTCACCAGTAGAGGTCAGACGTGCGAATCCAGTGAAT